CATAATTGTTAGCTTGAAAATGCCTTTCATATCTCTTTCTTCGTTGCACCAATCGTGGCAGTGTTGGCCTCACCCGCATTTAACTTCTCATTGAAAGTTAGTCATAAAAAGGGTGATGCTAACAAATTAACCACCACATCCTCCTTGATAATTCCTGCTACAGCTGCCGCCATTGTCACACACACACTACTACAAAAGCATGGGAAAACTAGGCTATTACTCACTATTGGCTCTGTCAGTAGTGACCTGCCTAGGCCTTCCAGAAGAGAAGGGTGCAATTGCGGCCTGCAATTCGGGGCGTCCCTGCATGTGGGTATTCCTGTATCTGCAGGAACCCCTCTTTATACACTATACAAAAGTATGTGGACACCCCTTCAAATTAGTGGGTTCGGCTATTTCAGCCACACCCGTTGCTGACAGGTGTATAAAATTGAGCACACCGCCATGCAATCTCCATAGACAAACATTGGCAGTAGAATGGCCTTACTGAAGAGCTCAGTGACTTTCAACGTGGCACCGTCATAGGATGACACCTTTCCAACAAGTCAGTTTGTCAAATTTCTGCCCTGCTAGAACTGCCCCGGTCAACTGTAAGTGAAGTGGAAACGTCTAGGAGCAACAACTGCTCAGCCGCGAAGTGGAAGGCCACACAAGCTCACAGAACGGGACCGCCAAGAGCTGAAGCGCATAGCGAGTAAAATCGTCTGACCTCGGTTGCAACACTCACTACCGAGTTCCAAAGTGCCTCAGGAAGCAATCATTGGAATAGTCCTTTCCAGTGGTGTTCTCATCCACTTTCGCATATAGCGAAACGATCGCTCCATCCCCCTAGTTGTAGGTCGCAATTCCCCCTGAAAAGTAACAATCATGGCCGGATAACCAACCAGGCATGCAGTGCAGTTGATTTTGTTAGAATTGTTCAGCATTGTATTCCCCCCACCCAGCAAAGATCTATCAACTATCAAGGTTTGCACCTTTCAGCTGCTGCTCCCTGGTCCATTCAGGAAACTTGTCTTGGATTCTTTTGATGAAATAAATTAGAATCCCAGTGGCTTGTGGTCTAAGGCACTGCATCGCAGTGCTAGCTGTGTCACTAGAGATCCTGGTTCGAATCCAGGCTCTGTCGTAGCCGGCCGTGACCGGGAGACCCATGGGGTGGCGCACAATTCGTCCAGGGTAGGGGAGGGAATGGCCGGCAGGGATGTAGCTCAGTTGGTAGAGCATGGCGTTTGCAACGCCAGGGTTGTGGGTTCGATTCCCCCGGGGGGCCAGTATGATTTTTTTAAATGTATGCACTCACGGATAAGTAAGTCGCTCTGGATAAGAGCGTCTGCTAAATGACTAAAAATGTAAAATGTTGTTCAAGATGATCCTTACTGTCCCATTTACCCCTTCTCTTGTGGTTGCCACCACTTGGGTTAACATCAACCTAGGAAATATATTATGTAAATCAATGGACAGAACTTCATTTATGTTGTAATGCCATTCAAACATGTCATTCAGCATCAAACCGCAAAGGTAATGGAAACAGAAATAGGTTCAATGGCTTTATTAATCTGTATAAACTCAATTTATAGCCCCCTTCACAAATCCAGATACCAACTCAGTGGCCTTGTGGTTAGAGTTTCAGATGCTGCTACGTGGTACATGAAGGGAATTTTCTATCATATCAACTCAGAAAACACCACGTATTTGTTTAACCATTTTAGAAAGTAAATGAGAATACATTACATCTTTGCTGCAGCTTCAGGGTAGCTCACTGCCATAGTAAAGCTAAATAATGACCATACCACTGGTGAATCAACGTTGTTTCCATGTCATTTCAACCCAAAAAATGTGATAACGTTGAATCAACGTGGATTATGGCCGTGATAATAAAGATCTGTTCATTTAACTTTGACTTTGAGTCCTCAGTGGTAATTTCCATGACAACTGCCTCTATGAACACTCACAGGACTATACACACTCACGCACACTGACACTCCAACACACACACACACACACACACACACACACACACACACACACAAATTCATACTGATTCTACACACATGCACATGGTGGCTGCATCATGTTATAGGTATGCTTGTAATCGTTAAGGACTGGGGAGGTTTTCAGGATAAAAAAGCTTGAAATGGTTGTTTAGCAATGATCAACAACCAATTTGACTGAGCTTGAAGAATTTTGATAAGAATAATGGGCAAATATTGTACAGTCAAGGTGTGCAAAGCTCTTTGAGACTTTCCCAGAAAGACTCACAGCTGTAATAACTGCCAAGGTGATTCTAACGTATTGACTCAGTGCCCAGGGGTGTGAATACTTATGTAAATTAGATATTTATGTTTTTCATTTTCAATACATTTGCAAAAATATCTAAACACGTTTTCACTTTGTCATTATGGGGTAGTGTGTGTTGATGGGTGAGACAATTTTTTAAAAATATTTAATCCATTTTGAATTCAGCCTGTAACACAACAAAATGTTGAACTAATCAAGGGGTATGAATACTTTCCGAGGGCACTGTAACCTCAGTTTTCGCCACCAGGAGAATCAATGCACATATAGACCTTCAGCCTAAGAACCTGCTACCAGCTGATCTGAGATCAGTTTCAACCACAAGGAACACTACTGCTGATAGGCTCACAAATGGCCACAACTGCTGAGTTCAGTTTTAATTTATCAGTAGCCCAAGGATTCTCTCATTCCAGCCCTGTTTAGCACTAGCTGAACATTTTAACTTCTGTTGTGTCTTGGACTTTAATACCGGCATGGTGTTTTCCAGATTGTATCTCTGGTATATTAAGAGGACCTGATCAATGGATATACTCAGAAATAGGTGATACTGTCGGTCTTGGATCAATATGATACCACATATTATGATCTCAGTATCTAGAGTCATTATTATTGATTATTTGATTGATTACTTATTATTGGATACTACGTTTTATAATAAACTGCCCAAACAAATACACAAACATGATGCTCTTTCCATGACATAGGCTGACCAGGTGAATCCAGGTGAAAGCTATGATTCCTTATTGATGTCACTTGTTAAATCCACTTCAATCAGTGTAGATGAAGGGGAGGAGACAGGTTAAAGAAGGAGTTTTAAGCCTTGAGACAATTGAGACATGGATTGTGTATGTGTGCCATTCAGAGGGTGAATGGGCAAGACAAAAAACGTAAGTGCCTTTGAACGGGGTATGGTAGTAGGTGCCAGGTGCACCGGTTTGTGTCAAGAACTGCAACACTGCTGGGTTTTTCACGCTCAACAGTTTCCCCGTGTGTATCAAGAATGGTCCACCATCCAAAGGACATCCAGCCAACTTGACACAACTGTGGGAAGCATTGGAGTAAACATGGGCCAGCATCCCTGTTGAACACTTTCGACACCTTGTAGTCCATTCCCCAAGACATTTAGGCTGCTCTGAGGGCAAAAGGGGGTGCAACTCAATATTAGGGAAGTGTTCCTAATGTTTTGTACACTCAGTGTATCTTTTAGTGTAATGATGTACCGTAATTTTCGGACTATAAACTGCGCCTTTTTTCGACCCTGCGGCTTATATAACGGTGCGGCTAATCTATGGATTTTTACAGCTAATGGCCACTAGAAGACCTCCTAAATCTATGGATTTTACAGGTTACAGTTGTAGTGTCTGAGGAATTATGACTTTGCTAACGTTTTCAAATGGAACCTGAGAGGAGTTTTTTCAGCTTAGAGGGAGTAGTTTTGTGGGGACACACCATAGAACAGAGGAAGTCTGTTATGTGGAGACAGGGGATTGGTCTGTAGGGGAACACCCATATCAGATTACATAGAATATATACCACAGTTGGGACAAAGGAAGACAGAATAATCAGATTTGAGATGGGGCGATTATTCTCCGGGTATCTGCAGGTATCTGTAAATCGACGCTGCAACCCTTTGTTATGAATAAACCTTATGATGAAAATACAGCGTCAGCGGTTCTCCTTGGTATCACAGCATAATTAGCAATGTTTGCTCGACACAACACAGTCCACCAACTTTAACTCTATGGGCTCTATGACCGGTCCGCGCCCCCCACCTTTAAGCGGCGGGCTCCAGCAGGAAAAGCTGGAGGCCGGAAAAGAGTGAGACAGGTAGCGCGCAAAAGTAAAAGTGGAACCGAGAGTGGTACGAGAGACAGAACGAGAGCAAGACAGACAGACATTACGAAAGCGAGACAGTTTGTCTCTTTCCCAACAATCCCCTCTGTGCACGAACCCTTACATATGGTAATTAAACATTAAAACACCTGCGGCTTATAGTCCAGTGCGGCTTATATATGTACACATCATTCAATATCATTCAATTTAGCTGCTGCGGCTTATACTCCGGTGCGCCTTATAGTGCGGAAAATACGGTAATTGCCTATGTAAGGTTGTTTTTCTTCATTGAGTGGTAGACCTGTGTATGCATGTAAGTGATATTCTTCAAGAATCAATGGGTAGCCTATATTTCATTCATTTCAATTATAAAAATAATACCCTTTATTAATCAGAGATGAAAATACATAAAATGATTACAGATTAAATCACAGAAATGAAATGTGGTGTTACTGCTAGTGCTTGATGTATGGTAAAATTCAGCAATGTAATCACTCTACTTTTTGACAATTAAAAAATATTTACATTACATTTAAGTCAATTAGCAGACGCTCATATCCAGAGCGACTTACAGGAGCAATTAGGGTTAAGTGCTTTGCTCAAGGGCACATCGACAGATTTTTCACTTAGTCAGCTCGGGGATTAGAACCAGCGACCTTTCGGTTACTGGCACAACGCTCTTAACCACTAAGCTACCTGCCGCCCTAAGCTACCTTACCAAACTAAGAAAAAGTGAGTGTGTGTTCTGTAAAATGTTATTTTGACAAGTAACTCAACGTGTGTGTGTGTGTGTGTGATTCCATGACATGATTAGGGTTGCCACCAGATTTCCGTCATACTGATACTTATTTCAACAGAGGTCAACAACAAAAGACTGTAATCATACGTTTTATTTTTAAGGTTGTAGCTAGTCATGTTATTTCAATACATAGTGATGGTGCAAGACAATCGCAGGGAGCACAAATAGGTCAGAAACATTTCTTATTACATTGGGATTGGAAAATCATATGAACTAGAATGTTATAAATCTGTGCTTCCCAACTAAAGGTTTGATGATGAGTTGACTCAAGGGTGTTAGTGCTAGGCCAAAAACAAAAATGTGCACCCAAGGGCAAGGATGAGTAAATACTGGATTAATGAATCATAATTAATTAACAATTAAACATCAGCCTAAGTTTCGATAAGGTAGTAAAGGATATGTCATTTTCTTCACAATGGTCTGAATCAGACTGCTAGGCAACCACTGAGTTGACTTTAATAACCATTGCTTCTGTAAAATGTAGCTCTGGCAAGAACATCCCTGGAGTAGTCCCCCCCAGTGGTGTTCTCATCCACTCTGCTGTATGAGTGGACATTATCCAGACCCCTATTGTAGGCCGCTAATCCTCCTGAAAAAACAAACACAACAGGTTGTAGTGTAGCCATGTAATCTATGTAGTTGTATAATGCATAATAAAGTTTGTATTAAATGTATGACTGATCATCTCCATCAAACTCTTGGCAGTTTCATTTAAGGACCCAAAAATTGACAGCTGTGCCATATAGATTGCAAAATAGTTCGGAAGAGATTTTTGATGTACCGATTCCATGGCACATGGTTTATGAACTGATTCACAAAACAACGCCGGATTTAAAACGTAGAGTTTTCCCATTTAAATTATTATACAAAATTCTTGCAACCAATAGAATGTTAAATATATGGGGGATACAACCATCCCAGCTCTGCAGATTTTGCAGCGAAGAGACAGAATCATTAGATCATTTGTTTTGGTACTGTCCATATATTTGTTTTTGGTCGCAGGTCCAATAATGGTTGAAGAATTGCAACATTTACCTGGAACTAACTCTGCAGATAGCACTACTGGGTGATTTGAAAAATCATAGTCAATCAATCAATAATATAATAATACTTTTAGCAAAGGTGTTTATCTTTGGTTTGCAATCTGTAGACACTATGAGAATAGAAAGTTTCAGAACTTTTGTGAAACATCACAGCACAGTTGAAAAATATGGCAAATAGAAATCAAAACTGGATGGTCTTCAGAGATAGATGGGAGGGGTTGAGGGTAGCTGAAGGACGGGATTAAAAACAAACAAAAGAGAACTATTGTAAAATACATTGCGTCCGTAAAATCTATATAGTGTGTATAAGCTGGAAGTAGAAGCTTTAGTGTTGTTTTCCATTAGTTTACTCCAATTAGGGGAGGGGTGGTAGGGTTAGGGGAAAATTTATATATTTAAAAAGGATATATATATATATATATATATATATATATATACACACACACAGTACCAGTCAAACGTTTGGACACACCTACTCATTCAAGGGTCTTTCTTTATTTGTACTATTTTCTACATTGTAGAATAATAATGAAGACATCAAAACTATGAAATAAAACATATGGAATCATGTAGTGTTAAACAAATCAAAATATATTTGAGATTTTTCAAATAGCCACCCTTTGCCTTGATGACAGCTTTGCACACTCTATGCATTCTCTCAACAAGCTTAATGAGGTAGTCACCTGGAATGCATTTCAATTAACAGGTGTGCCTTCTTAAAAGTTAATTTGTGGAATTTCTTTCCTTCTTAATGCATTTGAGACAATCAGTTGTGTTGTGACAAGGTAGGGTTGGTATACAGAAGATAGCCCTATTTGGTAAAAGACCAAGTCCATATTATGGCAAGAACAGCTCAAATAAGCAAAGAGAAATGACAGACATGAAGGTCAGTCAATCCGGAAAATTTCAAGAACTTTGAACCATCAAGCACTATGATGAAACTGGCTCTCATGAGGACCGCCACAGGAAAGGAAGACCTAGAGTTACCTCTGCTGCCTCAGAAATCGGCAATTAACTGCACCTCAGATTGCAGCCCAAATAAATGCTTCACAGAGTTCAAGTAACAGACACATCTCAACATCAACTGTTCAGAGGACATTGCGTGAATCAGGCCTTCATGGTCGAATTGCTGCAAAGAAACCACTAAAGGACACCAATAAGAAGAAGAGACTTGTTTGGGCCAAGAAACAAGAGCAATGGACATTAGACAGGTGGAAATATGTCCTTTGGTCTGATGAGTCCAAATTTGAGATTTTTGGTTCCAACCGCCGTGTCTTTGTGAGACGCAGAGTAGGTGAACGGATGATCTCCGCATGTGTGGTTCCCACCGTGAAGCATGGAGGAGGAGGTGTGATGGTTTGGGGGTGCTTTACTGGTGACAATGTCTGTGATTTATTTAGAATTCAAGGAACACTTAACCAGCATGGCTACCACAGCATTCTGCAGCGATACGCCATCCCATCTGGTTTGCGCTTAGTGGGATAATCATTTGTTTTTCAACAGGACAATGATCCAAAACACACCTCCAGGATGTGTAAGGGCTATTTGACCAAGGAAAGTGATGGAGTGCTGCATCAGATGACCTGGCCTCCACAATCACCCGACCTCAACCCAATTAAGATGGTTTGGGATGAGTTGGAGTGAAGGAAAAGCAACCAACAAGTGTTCAGCATATGTAGGAACTCCTTCAAGATTGTTGGAAAAGCATTCCAGGTGACTACCTCATGAAGCTGGTTGAGAGAATGCCAAGAGTGTGCAAAGCTTTCATTAAAGCAAAGGGTGGCTACTTTGAAGAATCTCAAATATAAAATATATTTTAATTTGTTTAACACTTTTTTGGTTACTACATGATTCCATATGTGTTATTTCATAGTTTTGATGTCTTCACTATTATTCTACAATGTAGAAAATAGTAAAAATAATGAGTAGGTGTGTCCAAACTTTTGACTGGTACTTTGTGTATACACACACACACACACACACACACACACACACACACACACACACACACACACACACACACACAGTGCCTTCAGAAAGTATCCAGACCCCTTGAATTTTCCCACATTTTGTTAGGTTACAGCCTTATTCTAAATTTGATAAAATTGTTTTTTTCCCTCAATCTACACACAATAACCCATAATGACTAAGTAAAAACAGGTTTTTTGAAAATTTTGCTAATTTATTCAAAGTAAAAAACGGAAATATCAATTTACATAAGTATTCAGATCCTTTACTCAGTACTTTGTTGAAGCACCTTTGGCAGCGATTACAGCCTCGAGTCTTCTTGGGTATGACGCTACAAGCTTGGCACACCTGTATTTGGGGAGTTTCTCCCATTCTTCTCTGCAGATCCTCTCAAACTCTGTCAGGTTGGATAGGGAGCGTTGCTGCACAGCTATTTTCAGGTCTCTCCAGAGATGTTCGATTGGGTTCAAGTAGGGCTCTGGCTGGGCCACTCAAGGACATGCCCCAGTCTGAGGTCCTGAGCGCTCTTGAGTAGGTTTTCATCAAGGATCTCTCTGTACTTTGCTCTGTTCATCTTTGCCTCAATCCTGACTAGTCTCCCAGTCCCTGCCGCTGAAAAACATCCCCACAGCATGATGCTGCCAGCACCATGCTTCACCGTAGGGATGGTGCCAGGTTTCCTCCAGACATGACACTTGGCATTCAGGCCAAAAAGTTCAATCTTGGTTTCATCAGACCAGAGAATCTTGTTTCTCATGGTCTGAGAGTCTTTAGGTGCCTCCAATCAGGCTGTCATGTGCCTTTTACTGCTTCCGTCTGGTCACTCTACCATAAAGGCCTGATTGGTGGAGTGCTGCAGAGATGGTTGTCCTTCTGGAAGGTTCTCCCATTTCCACAGAGGAACTCTAGAGCTCTGTCAGAGTGACCATCGGGTTCTTGGTCACCTCCCTGACCAAGAAGGCCCTTCTCGCCCAAATTCTCAGTTTGGCCGGGCGGCCAGCTCTAGGAAGAGTCTTGGTGGTTCCAAACTTCTTCCATTTAAGAATGATGGAGGCCACTGTGTTCGTGGGGACCTTCAATGCTGCAGACATTTCCTGTCTTGGAGCTCTACGGACAATTCCTTTGACCTAATGGCTTGGTTTTTGCTCTGACATGGACTGTCAACTGTGGGACCTTATATGGACAGGTGTGTGCCTTTATATAGACAGGATGCACCTGAGCTCAATTTCGAGTCTCATAACAAAGGGTCTGAATACTTATGTAAATAAGGTATTTCTGTTTTTTATATTTAATATATTTGCAAACATTTCTAAAAACGTGTTTTCGCTTTGTCATTATGGGGTATTGTGTGTAGATTGCTGAGGATTTTTATTTATTTAAATCAATTTTAGAATAAGGCTGTAACGTAACAAGATGTGGAAAAAGTCTAGGTGTCCGAATACTTTACGAAGGCACTGTATATATACCAAATAAATATGGGAGATTGGAAATGATGCAGACAATTACATTGATGGAAGCTGCAATATTAAAGCTGCAATATTCATATTAAACTCTTGGCAAGAAGAGCGGGTCAATTGGTAGGCTATACCTCTCAGCTGCTGCTCTGCGGTCCATGAAGGGAATTTACTCCGGACCGATCCGATTATATCAACGAGAATCTCAGTTGCTTGACTGAGATGTTCCTCACTGTCCCATCTCCCCCGTGGCTTGTGCCAGTTTTTGTCAACCTATAAAAAATATTCAATAGAAAACTATGGACACTGCTTACATTGTATTGTGAAATAGGAAACAAGCGCTCTTGTCTGCCAACAACAGTATAACAAATTGTACCTGCAAAGCTGAGTGCCTACCTGCATGAGTCCAAATCCATTTCCATTGTCCCCCCAACCATTGACCAGTCCTGCTCCTGTCCCAGCCCTGGTCTCTCGTGAGATGATACCAGCTATGATGGATGGCGCCACTCCATGCTTTTGCCCGACCCGCTTTATGATGGACTTATACTTGTTCATGTATTGCAGTTCATCTGCCATTTCGTGAGATCCTGTTTGTAAATGAATGTATATATAAGAACTTATTATATTGATTATTTGTTATAACTTGTAAGAATTGCCAGAGACCACTTACAGCTGTATGAGGTACAAGTAGTACCAACCTTCATATCATAGGCTATAATCAAGACAATTCACATTAGAGTGCACAGACTACACAAGACAAACTGAAGCGTACATTTGTACAAGCCCTGTTGTAAACTAGCAGTAATATTCCAAAAACACATTTATATAGATTTCTGGTAGGGGTGAGTGGGGTAAATTAAGCCATTTTTTACATTCAGCATCACTCTGTTAAGTTGCGTCAATTCAAATCTGGTATAGGAACAAAAAGAGGTCAATACACGTCTTCTAAAATAGACTAGTATTTTAATTAATGCAAACACTTGAATTGGTAAATATGATGTTCGTATATACGGGCCCACTGAAAAACCACGCAGGGCAGTCAGAGAACTGAGCCATTGTTATAAGATCTTCTTTAAATACTCTGACAGAGACAGTTCCCGCTCCTTGCTGGCCTATCAGAGTAGAGACTGAGCGTGGTTTAGACTTACTCAGCCTATCGTTGGCGCACAGGCTGGTCCCAGCCCCTTGGCGCTTCACTGTTGCCAGGCATTAGTTGTTATCTCCACAACTTGTCTCGAGTCAGCAACCTCAGACATCTTTGTAGCAGAACACATGTCCTTGAGCGGTTTAACAAAGAGGCAGTGTGTGTGTAAGTGAGACACAAGTCTTATCTCATCCTACACCCTAACAGTTCCCCACATTAATCACAGCTTGTTATATTAAACAATCTATATCAGTACAGCACAAACCTATTATGTTTAATCATTAATGTATTATTTCTAAGCTAGGCATCACATCTAGTTATAAGAAAATAGATCCCCACAACTCTGTCAAGGGAAATATAGTATTATTTCTATTAAAGATATCTACATATATTTCAGGATATTGTGTGTCCCTGAAAATAATCAGAATTGATGTAAACATTATAGTTTTGAAAACATAGCTTGTCCAAAAAAAGAGGTCTCTTGGCACAACTTACCCCGGGTATGGGGTAAGTTGAGCTGAGGGACAGGGTAAGGTATGGCCCCTAAACATTTCTGTACTGAATTAAATATTACCACTACCTTCTTAAACCATCTTTACTTCCCAAACACAATTCAAAACAATCACAATAGATTTTTTGTCTTTTAATCATTTTAAGCACCTTTTAACAAAGGCCTAACACCTAACAAACACTATGTGCTTTTTATTTTACACTTTTAACACAGGCCCTGTTGTTACCTCATACAGCAGCGATAATGCCTTGCATTACGCCTGGGAAGAAAACATTTCAATTGGCTCAACTTACCCCAAGGCAAACATTTTTACTGTATTAGCCCACAGAACTACAAGGACACACTTTCATGCTAGGTTTAGGACCTCATTTTGAAGCTTACAGAGATGTATAGAACTATCTTAAAAGTGTCCACTTTTTCCATGTGGTTTCTTCCTTCACAGACTCCATGAAATGATGACCTTTTCCTAAAAGATTTGGTAAAATTATACATTTTGTGTATGGTTTCCTAGAAACAAGGCTGGCTTCATTTACCCCACTCTTCCCTACATATACATTTCAAATCTAATAATATAAATATATGACAGGATCTTTTAACTGGTGCACCAGTTTTTGTGAAATACCTTTAACTATTATTCATACTTCTGAGTTGTAGGCTCAGGACACCCATGTGCAACAGACAACATGGCACTGTAACTAGGTTTCCATCCAAATGTCAACAGATTGTCATGCAAATATTCTAAAATCCGCATAATATGCACATTTTCCCACCAGTAGTGTGTTTCCAGCAAATGGACTTGTTCCTGCAATATGTATCCTTTTGGGCGGCCTAACCAAATTCATATAGAAATGGGAGTTATAGATCTGCCATTCTCATTGAAAGCAAGTCTAAGAAGCTGTATATTCTATGTGCACTATTTCTATGCCTCCCATTTTTAAGTTTCGTTTTTGCCTCTTTTACTTTTGGTTTTGTACACAAGCATCAAACAGCTGAAAGTACAATATTTTTGGTTATGGAAAATATATTTCAAAGGATTTAGATGGTACAATGATTCTCTACACAATGACTACTTGTTTGTCACATAAACTGAAATTAGGCGAACTATTAGAAGTTTTGCAAACAGGACATGGCTGAGCGATTTCTGCATATTGCACATTTAGTTTTCATGTACCTAATAAAAATCTAAGGTTCAATATTTCCATCACATTTTCAATGTCACAACAACTGTTGCGTTAAATAGCAAATGTGCCTGCCTACTATTTTTGGCTCGTGCGCTCTAGCCAACATCTCGCAGATACAATGCGGATAGGCTGTGCACGTATGCTACATGATGAGATTATTATGGATAAGAGCAATAATATTTGTATTTGTCAAACGGCAGTCAAGCATTGATCATCATGTCACTAGAATAAGACCCTTGATATTTATTGAAAAGGAGCATCAAGCTCATCACCGTGCACTTTTACCACCCTGTGAAGTTTGAACCAGTAGTCTCCACAAGCCCAGGTACTGGTTCTGTGAAGTTCATCACAATTTATTTAATCTGTAGCCAAATAAACTGCATGGTTAAACCGACTCGTAGTGACTCCAAGTATACTTCCATTTGATATTTATTTAATCCACCACCATTTCTCGCATTATTAATTTTACCGACCCAAAAAGATCCCACCATGTCAAACGAACAAATGATCTGTCTGCATTCATACAATTTAACCGGACCTTCATGTTTCCATCACAACTGTTTTTAAAAATACAGTATGACTTTACTTTCATAAAAACTGTGGATGGGAACGTGGTTAATGGATGGAACCGAATCGCACCATTTTCCCTCTGTTTTCACAAGATAAAAGCTTACCCATGTTGAAGTTTTGATTATTGAAACTGGAGATTCCTCAAAATTGATAGACTAAAGCTCAGCTAGGTGCTGCTGTTGCAAATGTGACAAATATGCCTGACTTATTCCTTGCACTTCTACTTTTTCCCGGATAGTTGTTGCCTCTGTCCGTGCATAACTGACCTCCTGTAGGCAACACTGTTTTTATAACGGATATGGAGAGATTAAGGCTGGCCTACCAGTTGCAAGCAAATTGCATTGAGAGGCAGGGTCGAGTCACAGAGGAGGCGTTCCCTAACGGAAATATGCAAACACATGCTACAATGTGCCAACAAGATCTCGCTTGGCTCATGCTTGGCTTTGCCCACCTCCTTGCTTGTTCTGCCCACTATGCTTCATTTGCTCCCACTGTAAATGACACAGATGAACTACAGTGCATTCGGAAAGTATTCAGACCCCTTGACTTTTTCCACATTTTGTTACGTTACAGCCTTATTCAAAAATGTATTACATTATTTATTTTCCTCATCAATCTACACACAATACCCCATAATGACAAAGCGAAAACAGGTTTTTAGACATTTGTGCAAATATATTAAATATAAAAACAGAAATACCTTATTTACATAAGTATTCAGACCGTTTGCTATGAGACTTGAAATTGAGCTCAGGTGCATCCTGGTTCCATTGATCATCCTTGAGATGTTTCTACAACTTGATTGGAGTCCACCTGTGGTAAATTTGACATGATCTGGAAAGGCACACACCTGTCTATATAAGGTCCCACAGTTGACAGTGCATGTCAGAACAAAAACCAAGCCATGAAGTCGAAGGAATTGTCCGTAGAGCTCCGAGACAGGATTGTGTCGAGGCACAGATGTCTGCAGCATTGAAGGTCCCCAAGAACACAGTGGCCTTCATCATTCTTAAATGGCAGAAGTTTGGAACCACCAAGACTCTTCCTAGAGCTGGCCGCCCGGCCAAACTGAGCATCGGGGGAGAAGGGCCTTGGTCAGGGAGGTGACCAAGAACCCGATGGTCACTCTGACAGAGCTCCAGAGTTCCTCTGTGGAGATGGGAGAACCTTCCAGAAGGGCAACGATCTCTGCAGCACTCCACCAATCAGGCCTTTATGGTAGAATTGCCAGACGGAAGCCACTCCTCAGTAAAAGGCACATGACAGCCCACTTGGAGTTTGCCAAAAGGCACCTAAATGACTCAGACCATGAGAAACAAGATTCTCTGGTCTGATGAAACCAAGATTGAACTCTTTGGCCTGAATGCCGAGCGTCATGTCTGGAGGAAACCTGGCACCATTCCTATGGTAAGGCGTGATGTTGGCAGCATTATGCTGTGGGAATTCTTTCAGCAGCAAGGACTAGGGACTAGTCAGGATCGAGGGAAAGATGAACGGAGCAAAGTACAGAGAGATCCTTGATAAAAGCTTTCTCCAGAGAGCTCAGGACCTCAGACTGGTCAAAGGTTCACCTTCCAACAGGACAACAACCCTAAGCACACAGCCAAGACAACGCAGGAGTGGCTTCATGACAAGTCTCAGAATGACCTTGAGGGGCCCAGCCAGAGCCCAGATTTGAACCCGATCAAACATCTCTGGAGAGACCTGAAAATAGCTGTGCAGCGACGCTCCCCATCCAACCTGACAGAGCTTGAGAGGATATGCAGAGAAGAATGGGAGAAACTCCCCAAATACAGTTGTACCAAGCTTGTAGCGTCATACCCAAGAAGACTCGAGGCTGTAATCGCTGCCAAAGGTGCTTCAGCAAAATACTGAGTAAAGGGTCTGAATACATATGTAAATGTGATATTTCATTTTTGTACCGTTTTTTTTTGTGTGCAAAAACGTCTAAAACCAGTTTTTGCTTTGTCATTATGGGGTATTGTGTGTAGATTGATGAGGGAAAAAACGATTTAATCAATTTTAGAATAAGGCTGTAACGTAACAAAATGTGGAAAAAGTCAAGGGGTCTGAATAATAATATCTTTGCTTGGGGTTCTATCCAATCTGCATTGCGGAAGTTCAGCTTTCCAGCCTGATAGAAATCTAAACGCAATGGTCCCGCTTTAGTGGAGACTGCATTCACAGTAAATGGCTCAATCGTAAATTATCTTTAAATTTCTCTCGCGGAATCTATGGCGCTTCAGCATTACAGATTGAATAGAGCCCTTGGTCCTGGGAGCCCTAGCAATACAGCTGATTCAAATAATGAAACATCAAGCTTTGATTAGCTGTGTAGTGCTAGGGCAAAAAACCCTTCACACTGAGCAATGCAGGGTAAAATGACAGTGCCAACTCAATGTATTTCAATGGGGAAGGTGGGTTGGGATTGGCGCACTACCATGCAAGCGAGTGTACAGAAAGTTTGAACTCTTGATGGAACGCACCCTGACATAAAAGTTTGTCTATCAACAGTGTTTACTGTGAATGTGATTGCCACGACCATCAAGGAAATTGCCTTTAAAAGGCGCATTATCAAGTTTGGTTTTACTCGCATTCCATGCATTGTTTTTGGGGGAATTTGTATTTATTGGGTTGTATTCTATGCATTGTTTACTTAATTCTAAGACAGCCACATAACTCCTCTTGAGGTAAGAATATAATTAACTATCTATTTATGTAGTGGAAGGTCTGATTAATATTTTAACCAAGTTTGTAGGCTATTTATCGTTTTAGGTTGTATTTTGAGTTCAACATCCCTTTAAGGGGCAGAGTTGCCTGATTTCCAAGAAATCCTGGTTCAGTCTAGAAACAACCCCAAGCTTATTTACAAAAGGCTATGGCTCCATAAACCAATTCCATGTCCAGCCAGGTGTAGTGTGATACATATTGTAGTTTCAAAGGACCTGATCACGGGACAGGATATCATAACGAAACTGAAAACAAAGTGATGATTTAAAGATGCCCTCCAGGATCTTAAGCACAACCAATTTGGTAACATATTGCACGAATTGGAGCCGTAGCATATCACACGAATTGCAAAATTCGTATGATATGTAAATAGCAAAATTTGTAACATTTCACACGAAATGGAAGACAGTACACAATTGGATGATGTAGTACAAATAAAACAGGGACCACTTTTGACTCGTGAGCACCACTTTCAAAACTACTGGCTGAAATTATCCAAAAGTTAAACAGTGCATCTTTAGTAGACTATGGCATAGGCTAAACACATTCTTATCTCAAATTTGAACTGCTGCCTTGTTTTAAAAGGACAATATAGGCCAGCCCACAGCAGGAAGCTACAAATCAGACATTTGCTTTACCTGTTGTAAAGTAAATGTGTTTTCAGTATTTTTTTGTGAATGAGATGGATGTATGGATTAGTATTGATTATGTAGGTTCTGTTAATTTCATAGGCCACATACCTCTAGCATGTCGTCAGCATCTGCTGTCTCCTTTGAGGCACTAGCAGTTTCAACCTTCATAATGTTTCCATAACGAGAATCAGAGCTTCCTATCTCAACAAGACAAACACAAGCTGAGGTGTAGCTCAGTTGGTAGAGCATGGCTCTTGCAATGCCAGGGTTGTGGGTTCGATTCCCACGGGGGGCCAGTATGAAAAAGTCTGGATAAGAGCGTCTGCTAAATGACTAAAATGTGAACTGTCCTGTTGTAGGCCTATGCCAAAATACAACAGATGTTTTATTTTCCAACTACTAAACACAAGTACACCATTTTTAAAAACATAACAAAGCTCACCCATGTTGATGTTTAATCTTCAAATTCTTGAAATTGGAGGATCCTCAAAATGATCAACTAAGCCCAGCCGGGAGCAGCATAAATGTGACCGTTAGTTAACTGAACCAACGTTCGCAAAATGTGGTCAAGCCATCCGTTCTTCAGTTTCCGGCTGAATTTGGGTGTACGAATACACAACACTTTATGGTATCGCGTGTTTCTGGTAAGGGAAGCTGAGTCGAATGCACTCTCATGCACAGATAGAGACGATAGCTACAAATCATTTCAAGTAAACAGTTTGAAGCACACTTATTCAATCTTCCATAATCCAAATGATACCATATAATTTATTCATTTTCGTGCCTTATCAAAAAAAGAGGGAGGGGATGGGGGGGGGGGGGGGGACGACGACGACGACGACGACGACAAACAGAGAAGAGGTGTTGCTCTGCGGCTGCAGACACGCGTCCGAACCAGCCCCCTGCACTCCTGATCTGAGGACACGCACATGCTAGAGCCATCTATAGCCTTCCTGTGATGTTTTATACTTGCTTACTATCCAAATACACAATCATGTAAGAAAGAAGATATACATGTATACTGTGCGTGACTATAATATAATATGATATATTTTTTGGACTGACTTAATGTCAGTCTTTTTAAAGAATGTTACTTAATTGAATTATATGTTATAGCTTGAAAAGAGCAACATTTGCACACTTGATAAAGCAATGATTAATTCACCACAAAATCAACATTTTGCAATGGCCATCTCAGTTGCCTGACTTTATTTCAAACCAGTGTTTTGAATTAAATGGGGGAGTCCATAAGAGCAGACGAAGGATATCAAGGATCTGGAAAGATACTGTATGGAGGAATAGTCTTAAGATCATTCCCAATGTGTTCTCCAACCTCATAAAACATTTTATAAAAAGTCTGTTTTGTTATCTACACAAGTGGAGGGTGCTGGAGTATTGAAAACAGGTGGCAATAATTTTGCTCCATATCTTTTTGAAAGATAAATAATAATTGATTAAACAAAATCTCTTTCTCTGTTCAATTGTATTAGTATAAAATAATATAATACAATATAGCACATACATCCAATATATCTCAGTATTTGTATGATTTATTTGATAGTCTTTTTTCCTCTTCTTTATCAAGGTTGCCAATAATTTTGGAGGTGACAGTATCTACACTAGGGTTTGGTTTGGAACTGGGCATATCTTGGAGTGGGACAACATTCCACAGGCCACAATCAACAGCCTGATCAACTCTATGCGAAGGAGATGTGTCGCGCTGCATGAGGTAAATTGTGGTCACACCAGATACTGACTGGTTTTCTAATCCACGTCCCTACCTTTTTTGTAAGGTATCTGTGACCAACAGATGCATATCTGTATGCCCAATCATGTGAAATCCATAGATTAGGGCCTAATGAATTTATTTCAATTGACTGATTTCCTTATATGAACTGTAACTCAGTAAAATCTTTGAAATTGTTGCATGTTGCGTTTATATTTTTGTTCAGTAAATTCCACCTTTCCAAATGATCACCTATTAGTCTACGTATAACACCAGAATTTACATCCACAAGATAAATAATAAAGAGTAGACAAACTAACTTTTAAGTAGGGTGAGTATTGGCAAAGTGGGACACCTTCTGAACATTTGCTTACCGGAAAATCTTACATTTACATTTTAGTCATTTAGCAGACGCTCTTATCCAGAGCGACTTACAGTTAGTGAGTGCATACATTTTGTATTTTCTTTTTCCCCATACTGGCCCCCCGTGGGAATCGAACCCACAACCCTGGCGTTGCAAACGCCATGCTCTACCAACTGAGCTATTTGGGACCCCAATGAATCATCCCATTGTTTTAACCCCCAACATGATACTATTCTAGATAGCTTAAGAACTCTACTACACTATACAAACCAGAAAATAATGGTGTTGACGCTCCACATCTTTCAAGCCACTGGAGCACTGGGCCAGCCACTCTTAAAAATCACCTGCTCCAGCACAGGACAAGCCAGCGCACGTGTAACACATGCTGACTAACAAGGTGACAGCAATCGGTGCGCCCTACGTGCTAAAAGTCCAACCGCAAAATATAAATGGAGAAAACAAAACCTGTAGCACTTAGATCTTGCTGTGAAGCTGTGTGTGTGTGTGTGTGTGTGTCTCTGCCTCTGTCTGTATGTGTCTGTGTACTGTGTTTGTATGTCATGACTGTAAACAAATCTTGCTTTTACAATTTAACATTTTCTGAACAGCACCACCGTTAGGCTACTGCAGCCTCTGCAGCCTCACTCTACCAGTGATATCAAAGTAATTTTTGATAAGGCGTGAAAATGAAATAAAATATTTGGTGTAATTTTGATTAAGGAATATTTAATTAGTGTGCTTCAAACTGTTTGCTTGGAATGATTTGTAGCTATCATCTCTATCTGTGCATGAGTGCATCCGATTCAGTTTCCCTACCAGAAAACACGCAATACCGTAAAGTGTTGTGTATTCGCGCAATAAATTCAGGCAGAAAAAATCTTTCTAACAGCAGGTTCCCAAAAACCATACACACCCTAGTATACAACAAACATTTTCTCTACTTTCACTATAACCCTACAACACAAAAATATCCCCTCATTCTACATCTCCTTAATCACACAAAAACTATTATTTACAATCTAACAATAGATAGGACCTTTATTTAAACACAGGTTTCCTGGAGACATAATATTCAGTTATACATATCCTCAAAGGTTGAAGGGGGATGGGGGGGGACCTGCTGGAATGATCTTGACCTGATAGACTGATCACCTGCAGAGATGGAGCACCTTATGTACTCACGTATGGTTATAACTGGTTATAACTAGCTGGGAACTTTTGCAAAAGGCTGTTGGAAAATATGACTGTTAGTTACTGACTTCCACCTCACACAGACACACCCCTGCTTTCTTCCACATAGTCAAGCTATTGTGTCCACTAGTGTGCCTGATTTCCAGGAAATCACATCTCTGTCCAGAAACAATCCCAATTCAAGTACGCCCATCCTGTTTAATATATATGAGCTGTGCAAGGAACAAAGGATAATAAAAACATGGTGTGTCACGTCGTTCATAATTTAAAGGCCCACTCTGATATTTACAGCCATTTTTTATAATTCAAATGAATGAAATATTCTTGAAGAATATCACTTACATGCATACACAGGTCTTCCACTCAGTGAAGAAAAACAACCTTACATAGGCAATAACATCATTACACTAAACGATACACTGAGTGTACAAAACATTAGGAACACTTTCCTAATATTGAGTTGCACCCCCTTTTGCCCTCAGAGCAGCCACAATTAGCTGGGGCATGGACTACAAGGTGTCGAAAGCGTTCCACAGGGATGCTGGCCCATGTTGACTCCAATGCTTCCCACAGTTGTGTCAAGTTGGCTGGATGTCCTTTGGGTGGTGGACCATTCTTGATACACACGTGAAAAATCCAACAGCGTTGCAGTTCTTGACACAAACCGGTGCACCTGGCACCTACTACCATATCCTGTTCAAAGGCACTTACATCTTTTGTCTTTCCCATTCACCCTCTGAATTGCACACATACACAATCCATGTCTCAATTGTCTCAAGGCTTAAAAATCCTTCTTTAACCTGTCTCCTCCCCTTCATCTACACTGATTGAAGTGGATTTAACAAGTGACATCAATAAGGAATCATAGCTTTCACCTGGATTCACCTGGTCAGCCTATGTCATGGAAAGAGCATCATGTTTGTGTATATGTTTGGGCAGTTTATTATAAAACGTAGTATCCAAAAATAAGAATAATCAATCAAATAATCAATAATAATGACTCTAGATACTGAGATCATAATATGTGGTATCATATTGATCCAAGACTGACAGTATCACCTATTTCTGAGTGTATCCATTGATCAGGTCCTCTTAATTTATCAGAGATACAATCTGGAAAACACCATGCCGGTATTAAAGTCCAAGATACAACAGAAGTTAAAATGTTCAGCTAGTGCCAAACAGGGCTGGAGTGAGAGAATCCTTGGGCTACTGATAAATTAAAACTGAACTGACGTCAGCAGTTGTAGCCGTTTGTGAGGCTATCTGCAGTAGGGTTCGTAGTGGTAGATCAGATCAATTCTTAGCCAGGGTCTTAGCCTGAAGGTCTGTGCTGTGATTCTCCTGATTGCGAAAACTGAGGTTGGAGCTCTGGCTGAAGGCTTTGCCACACACCAGACACACATTGGGCTTCGCACCTGGGGTAGAATAGTTATTTTATCCTATGTTATGTCAGATATACAAATACTCAAACTTTCAGCGTTGGCTCTGGCGGAATTTGCCATTGTCTCATTAGCCATGGTTATACCTTGCATTAACATGTGGTTTTTATGATCCGATCAAGATGATCCAATCACTATCTGATCAGATTTGTAACGTCTAAACATGGTTTTAAAATGTGTCTCTTATCATTCCACTGTGTCCACATTGTGACCAGATTTCCTGGTCCCTTCATGTATTCAAATTATTTGAAAGACATCGCTTCAAAATAATGACTTTAAAAAAGTTTAGACAATAATTTATGCCTTGAGTCAATGGTGCCATCAATGATTTTAGAAGGCAGTATAATTAGGATTTAAATGGTTTGACCATCCAGATCTGTTTGCACTTGTAAGATATCCAGATGCAATGTGCATACACTTCTGGAGCTGGTCAGGTAGATCTGATCACAATCAGTTCACAACGGGTCTTTTAATCATCTACACCTGTCTAAATGTGGGCACAAGGTGAATCTGGAGAAGATCAGGACGAATGTTAGTGGCAGGTATATAAAGGGCTATAGAAAACAATGACATCTGGTTTCTTCCTGCTGTGGGCTGTCCTATATTGTTCTTTTAAAACAAGGCAGCAGTTCAAGTTGAGATAAGAATGTGTTTAGCCTATGCCATAGTCTACTAAAGATGCACTGTTTAACTTTTGGATAATTTCAGCCAGTAGTTTTGAAAGTGGTGCTCACGAGTCAAAAGTGGTCCCCGTTTTATTTGTACTACATCATCCAATTGTGTACTGTCTTCCATTTCGTGTGAAATGTTACGAATTTTGCTATTTACATATCATACGAATTTTGCAATTCGTGTTATATGCTACGGCTCCAATTCGTGCAATATGTTACCAAATTTGTTGTGCTTAAGATCCTGGAGGGCATCTTTAAATCATCACTTTGTTTTCAGTTTCGTTATGATATCCTGTCCCGTGATCAGGTCCTTTGAAACTACAATATGTATCACACTACACCTGGCTGGACTTGGAATTGGTTTATGGAGCCATAGCCTTTTGTAAATAAGCTTGGGGTTGTTTCTAGACTGAACTGG